CTTGGGTTTTCACAGGAACATGTCTTTGGAAAAGGCAGCATCGAAATGCAAAAGCAATTCTAAGGGTCTCACCGGGGATTATTTCGAGCCACAGCCCGTAGCCCACATCCACGGGAGAGTGCCGGAAAGACTCACCGTGCGGTGACACAACCACCTGGTGTGGCAGTAATCCAGGGTCCCGCCCAGGTCCTCGGTCAACTGGGACTTGTCGATGTAACCGTGTAATTCTGGTACTGAGCTCAGCATTATGACCTAGAGGAGAAAGGAAACCCCCTCCATACACAGAACGCCCAGCAGACAGTCAGGAAACGTTTACTTGCTGGTGGCCGTGTTGACCGAAGTCACTGGCTTTGGGCCTGGCTTTCAATCCCAGCTCTACCACTAACCGGCTGGTTGACTTGAGGCAAGTCGCTTATTTTCCCTGTGTCTCAGCTTCCCCATTCATGAAATGGGTACAGGATGACTAATCCCACCAGATGACAGCCACTGAAGGGTGCAGACCCCGTGGCCTAGCTGGGCTTGGCATGGACATCAGGCACATGGAAAGCGCGGACACTCCTCCGGCCAGGTGAGCTCAGCATGGTAATCGGACGGTGCTCGGACTCTAAAGAAAATCATTTGGTCTTCGTTTCTGCTGACAGACTGTGAGGTCACTGCAGGGTCAGACCCAGTTCAGTGCCCTTTACCTGCACGATGGCCTTGACGGGGACCACATGGTTGTGGTGACCAAGCAAGCTCTTCCACACGGGACACTTGCTTTATTGTTTTTATTTTATTTTTTTATTTTTATGGGGAAGATGCCCTCATACCAGTTCTGGTCGATTTTCCTCTGTTTTATTGTTTTAATGTGGGTTTTTTTCTTGTCCTTTCTGAGGTCATTCTGCCCATGAGTTGTGGATGAAAATATAGCCTTTGCTTTGTAAGCTGTCACACAGATACTACAAAACAGGTCTGGAGAGGTTTAGCCCAAATGTGATTTGAAACCACCTCATGTATTATTAAATGCTGCATTAGTTTAAAGCAGCGGTCTTCCCTCCCCCCCCCCGGCCGCCCCCCCCACTGGGGGTTTTGGTCCTTAGGGGGAATTGAGAAATTTTGGGGAAAATTATTGATTTTACACATTTTGGGGGGGGGGGGGGGGGGGGTTGGGGTTTTTGTGGGGGGGGGGGTGGGGTTGAGTAATAAGTAAGATCATGCACAGGTCAGCCCCACCACAGAGAACAATCCTGCCCAAACGTCAACAGTGCCAATGTGGAGGTCTTTTGATTGAAGCATGATCTTTTTTTTAATTTTAATCTTCACCCAAGGATAATTTTCCCATTGATTTTTAGACAGAGTGGAAGGGACGGGGAGAGACAGAGAGAGAAAGAGAAACATTGATGTGAGAGAAACACATCGATTGATCGCCTCCCTCACATGATGAGCCTGCAACTGAGGTACCTGCCCCTGACTGGAATTGAACTCGGGACCCTTCAGTCTGCAGGTGGACACTCTAGCCACTGAGCCAAACCGGCTAGGGCGCATGATCTTCATTTTATAAAGTAGGCTAAAATGTCCACTTAAAGTAGAAAACAGTTCTCAGCAGAGATGACTCCATTTTCTCTTTGTGAAACCCGTTTTTGCCAACTCACTAATTTGGCTGATGTGAGCTGGAGTGAGGAGATGAGGGAGGGATCGGCCTGCAGGGCCAAGGCCTACAGCTCCCACCCTCTGCAGGCATGAGGGATGCTTGCACACACTTCCCCGGGCCTTCTCTTGTCCCCTGGGCTCCCTTGTTCTTCAGCTTGACTTGCTATAAGAACGTTCTAGACCAGGGGTGGGCAAACTTTTTGACTCGAGGGCCACAATGGGTTCTTAAACTGGACCGGAGGGCCGGAACAAAAGCATGGATGGAGTGTTTGTGTGAACTAATATAAATTCAAAGCAAACATCATTACATAAAAGGGTACGGTCTTTTTTTTCTTTTTATTTAGTTTTATTCATTTCAAAAGGGCCAGATCTGGCCCGCGGGCCGTAGTTTGCCCACGGCTGTTCTAGACTCATGGCTCTGACGAAATGCCTGTACTTTGAAGGTGGCCCATCCAAGGCCATGCTTTGCACAGTCACCCCAGGGGTGCAGAGTGGCAGGTGGGAATGAAGGATCATACTGCTCCTGGTTGCATAAGAGGAAGTATAATTTCCGCCTGAGTCGTTTGGGGCTTTAGTTATGCTCACAGCACTGAGGTTAGCACCTTGAGAATTTCGATTATCATAGATGGGCCAAGAATGCAATTACGTTTAGTTCTGCCTACGGAGCTAAAGCCGGGGTGTACTTACTGGAACCTTCATCTTAAAGTCATCTCTGTTGAATTTGAAAGCGAGGTCAGAGAGAGTCCTTTGGAAAAATCCCGTTGGTCGCAGAACAAGGACGAGCTGGAGGTTTGCCGGGAAGGATGCCTGCAGGGGAACAGAGGGTGTGGCATCGCTGGTGGACCGCTGTAGCTGACGTAGGGGTCCCACATACCTGCAGCTAACTGCACAGGCCGGACAGGGAAGACCTGGTCCGGGTGTTTTCAACACAACAAAGGTTATAGACACTGGACTCCGTCAGGGGCATCACTACCTCTTAAGAGAAAAGGGAAAAAGTCACACTGCTTGATGTTACTTACAAACGAGAAAGTCAAACGCTTGTTACCCTTGTTACAGACGGAATTGTGTCCTCTGAAGTTCAGATGTTGAAGACCAAACCCCAGTGCCTCAGAATGTGATCATATTTGGCGATGGGGTCTTTACGGAGGCAGTTACGCTAAAATAAGTTATTAGCATGGGCCTCCAACCCAATGACTCGTGAAAATGGGAAATTTGGACACAAAACCCACCGGGAGAACGCCACGTGAAGATGAAGGCAGAGATGGGTGATGGGTCTACGAACCAGGGGTCACCAAAGATCACCAGCTACCCCAGAAGCTGGGGGAGAGCGTGGAATATGTTCTCCCTGTGGCCACAAAGGGAACCAGCCCTGCCTTGACCTTGAACTTCCGGCCTCCAGACTGTGAGGCAATAAAGTTCTGTTGTTTAAACCATCGAGTCTGGGAACTCTGTTTTGACAGCCCCAGGGAACTATACTTGTCAAATAGAAATGAAGCCATACGCGCACGCACACACTCTCTCGCTCTCTCTCTCTCTCTCTCTCTCTCTTTCTCTCTCTCTCTCACACACACACACACACACACACACACACACACAAGCTAAAGGAAAGATAAAAATAAGCGTGCGCACACACACTCTTAGATACAATTATGTGAATGTGTTGAGCTACCAGCTTTGCTTACAAGGTACCTGGCCTTGGGCAAGTTACTTAACTTCCCCATGCCTCAGTTTCCCCATTTTGAAGCAGAGGTAACAGAGTGCCTTCCTCACTGCACTCTTGAGGGTTAAGTGACTTAATGCACACGCAGAGTTTAGCACAGTGCTCACATGAAGCACTCAAAAACGTGGCGATGACAGACACATAGTAAAAGGCTATTCTAGATGCTGAAATCCAGGGAGACCCCATTACTAAAACAAGAAATTCTGAAGCAAGTGAGTTCGATTTCTGGATAACCAGGCTACAGGCACCTAAAATATAACACACAGACAGAATGACACAGCCCCAAGGCCTGAAACAGATACCTTGGCTCAAAGGTCATCCTGGCCCACCTCTAACATCCATGCCCATCTAAGCAGGGCTGGCAGAAGACCCTAAGCCAGGGACCTGCGGGGCGGCCCATCGGCACACCAGAACCCACGGCACCTATGGATATTCCCTGGTTACGCCATCCAGGTTTAACACTGCCACCCACCTACTGGTGACATCCACGCTGTGCCTGTGACCCGGCCACTCCTTGAGCTCCCACCTGAAGGCCCTCAGTGCCTGCCGGGCACCTCCACTGCCATCTGGGAACCTTGAGGGCAGCGCTAAGACTCCAGTGATGGCGGCCTCTGGGTTGGGTGTGGAGCATATACCCTTCCTGCCTGCAGCCCTGAGACACACCCTCCCCACAGGTTCCCCAGCGAGTCTGCATAGCATCGCCATAGCCCGGGTGACGGGGACCATGTGTCCTTGGTCGCCAGCACCTTAGCAGGTGCTCGCTATGTGTTTGCAGCCCTGTGGGCCAGGAGGGGAGCTGTCACAAGGTGCCATCTGCCCATCCGCTGGAGGTGCCTGGCACAGCCACCCACGTTCACAGCGGGACCCGCAGCTCAGGAGGGGCCTATGAATAAGCAGCTCAGCGAGCCGTGATCTCTCCCCTGTGCTGCCCCTGCTGACCCCGCCAATGCTCACTGAGTTCGACTCCTTCGAGCGGAAAAGACAACTCAGAGAACCACGTGGAGAGTCGGCAGCCTGAGGGCAGATTGCGGGCCATTTACCAACAGGAGGACCGTGCAAACCTGTCACCATCATTTGTGAAACTGGCCCCCACTCTTTAAGGAAGACATCCTGACGGCAGTCTCTTTCTAGAGGCGACAGCGAGTCACTCTTTTCTAAATTTCAATGTTGCTTTTGCCGCCCTAATTCACACCTCGGGGCAGATGTGCTCCGTAAGCACAGGTTTGAATGCATAGGATAAAACTGTGCCCTGGTCCTCCAGCAATTTCCCGTAGATGAACTCAGCTCAGGCGGCGAGGAAAGCCACCGGCAGTGGGCCTCGCTCGCCCCGTCCTGGGAGGAGGCACTGACCTTGCTGAGCCTGTGGCTGGAGGTGACTGTCTACGTGAAAACCGGTTCATTCTCCCCCTTTTCTTGCTTTAGTGTTTCCATTTCTTTAAGTTGTTGAATCTTTATATTAAAGAGAGTAGTTGTAAGATCCTAGCCAAGTGAGAAGGCTTAGTGACATACACAAACAATATTTTGAATACAAACAACGGTAAATTACATTTTCTCTGGGTTGGAGCCAACCATATGTACTAAAAGCCATCTGGGAGAAAATAAAACTTTATTTTAAAAATATAAAGGTAACTGGATGGAGGATTTGAGATGGAGGCTATAACATAACATCTTTTTGCAACTCACTCATGAATCAAGCAATCAGAAAATGATTACAATAGGTTCCTGTGTCATATGAAAGCAATATTGTTTGTTTTCAGGGGCTGACCTTGACTGACTTAGGAAGACATAGGATGTGATGACTCTACATGTGCAATTTGGGGATAGATGAAGAAGACTCAACTGGCTTCTGAATTCATATTCTTAGAGTCTTACTAAACGAAGAGGCAACGCAACTGGAGCCAATGGATGAAGAAGTTCCGCGGAACCCTGGTGCTTGGGGGAAGGCTGTTTGAAATCCTCCCCAAGTTCAAGTCACTGCCTTAACTTGTGCCAAAGCCACAGTTATCCAGCCTGACGTGAGATGTTTAATTTCACGTGGAGCAGCTGAAGCCTGGCCAATGACATTTGTCTCATAGTAGCCAAACAACAAACACAAGTTTGTGTAATAAATATGAACTTGGAAGCGTGGATCTCAGTGTTAGGAGATGAAAAACCCAGGGTCTGAATCAGAAAAGCTGTCTGTGAACAGAGGCCTTCGGCCGCCGGGGCTGCTGCTGGGGAGGTCTAGGTGCAAGCCTGCCGGATGGGGCATCTAAGACCAGCCCCCGGTGAGTACGGTTGAGACGGTCATAAACACCATTAAGGAAAAGACATTTTAATGAAAAATGAGTAGGAAGGGGGTAATCTCTGAAGGAAGGACAGTCATTCCACCGAATACTCTCAACATCGGGACACCTGGGCTGCCTGCTCTTCTGGGACCAGCAGCGCCTCTGCCCACGCCCTCCCCTCCCCTGGCATCACCACCTGTGCTTAGACCTCCGGGAACTGGCACACAGTAGGCAATTAGTAACATTGTTTAATATAATATTATTTTGCCACATACGGTGTATTTACTGAATGCCCTACAATTCCTGGGTCCCTCAGACACTTTGTGCACACACAGATGGCATTGGCTTTACAGGCAAAACCCTGAGTTCTCCCCACGCGGACTGAAACGACCTGAACTGCAATTTCCTTCAATGGCATGCTCTAGGACACAGATTGAGCCTGAATTAGGCTAGCTCTAAACTTAAATATGTACACTCCATTACAACCCTCCCCCATGCTAACACCACACACACACACACACACACACACTCACTCTTCGCACGCAGACGTAGTAGGAGTGGGTTAAAACTTGAAGTGGAATCCTAGAAGACATACACTGGTATTTTATCAAAGAGGCATCTATCCCAGGACAGTCCAAACTTTGAACCAACTGTTAGACAAACAAAGAGTGATGCTTGAATTCTCAGCTTCGAGTCTTGTTTCTGCTTGTGTCCACCGGTAGAGAGCCTGACCTGTGCCAGGTCAGAGCACCCATTGCCCCCACTGCCCATGAGAGCCGATGAAGGCTCTGTTTTGGATGGAGGCACAGCAAGTCTGATTTTAGGAACATTAGACGTTGGCTCCTCCAATGCCTTATTCTTCTCTTCCAAGCCAAGCTGAAGGCATCCAAGAAAGGAAAACGAACACCCCAAATTAAGGAAAGCTCAGCTCAGGAGACAGTACACATGGTGGCAAAAAATAGCCCTGAACTACGTGGTGTTATGTAAGGCCTGAGCCTCAACCGGGTGTCCAGACACCCTTGGAGATGAGTAGAGCCGCTGCCACCGACTTGCTTCTGTGGCACCTGCAGCTGGTCAGGTGCCCCGGTGGAATTGTGCACCCTGGAGCCGCCCATGTGCCGATTCCTCCTGAGGGTGCTGGCCTAGCGGGTGCTGGGTGGTTGTTTTCCCAGAGCCCCCTTGGATATAGTATAGCCTGGCTGAAGGTGGCAGCATGAGTACCAGCTCTGGCGCCAGTTCTGTCTCCCACCTCCTGGTCCTACCACAGAGCCATGGTAGAGATCAGACCGACACCCTGGCTCAGAGGTGGATGTATGCTCAAGGAAGGCAGCAGGGCTTGGCTCATAGCGTTCTGCCCACCCCTATGGCCTGTGCTGTCTCAGGCACCCCTATATATTTTTCTGGTGTCTCTGGGCATAACTCTGACCACAATGGCTGTCAGCAGTCTGCACCCTGCTTGGGTGTATATTTCTTGCTCATTCTCCCCTTATATCCCCAACACCTTCACGTTCCAGGCACAGAACAGGGTTTTCACAAACGTGTTCAATACATTAATAGAATTTTTCGCATTAATATCAGTAATTTTTTATAACAAGAAGCATCAGAGTGCAAAGAGAATCTTTGACAATTCTGCTAGAAAAATGCTGACTTCTGGGATTTCCAAACCAGTACTGAGGAACTCTGTGACTTACAGGAAAAAGGATAGAAAAAAAAGCCACACGTATATTTTTATTGTGTAAGAATCAGTGCAAACCTAAAAACTCAAACTTTTTAGCTGTGATTTTTCACAAAACAAAGTTTTAAAGACGAGCCAGCTTGCTTCAGCAATTAATCTGATTATAAACTTGATGATGAATAAAACTTGGTATGAGCTTGGCTGTGACAGCTCCGGCAGCTGGCCCAGACCACACTGCTGAATTGTAGGGTGATCTGAAGGATTACCCACCCCACCCCCCAATTTATCTGTTTTGTTTTTAAAAGCAACCCTGCATTTAGGAAGCTCCTTGCTTCTAACCAGGAACAACTGATTAACGTGAGAGATATTTATGGCGAACCTGCCTCACATGGGGCTTGGGCTGGGTGCCCAGCCACCCGAGGATGGACAGGGCTTGGCCTTGACCTCAAGGAAGCCGTGATGTGCAAACACAGAATGACTGTGAACTTCCATCAAGTAGAGAAAAGGCAGGAGACTCCTAGGGCAGTGCTGCTCTGCTGGGAGCTGGGCGAGGGGGTGTGGAAGGATGCAAAGCCACGTGGTGCTCGGGGGTGAGGGTGTTCCAGGGAGATGCCCGTGTGCAAAGGCGCAGAGAAGCACTTTCCAGCAAGGATGAGAGGCCTGGACCCACAGGGCACGCCCGTGACCATGTCGGCAATTCAAGAGTACTTTGTGCCCGGCCAGTGTGGCTCAGTGGTTGAGCTTCTACCTATGAACCAGGAGGTCATGGTTCGATTCCTGGTCGGGGCACATGCTTGGGTTTTGGGCTCAATCCCTAGTGTGGGGTGTGCAGGAGGCAGCCAATCAATGATTCTCTCTCATCATTGATGTTTCTATCTCTCCTTCTCTCTTACTCTCTGAATTCAATAAAAATATCCTTTTTTTTTTTTTAAAAAAAGAGTACTCTGTAAGTTTATGAGGATTTTAAAACAAAGGAAATCTGATTATATAACACACTGATTTTTTTTCAACCGTTGTGCTGCAAGAATTTTTAAAACATATGATATCTATTTAGTCAGGGGTGCTGACCTCTTTTCCCTTAGGTTATCAAATAAAAAACTGACAATGGCCAACACAACAATAGGCATAGGTGTGAATGAATCAAAATTATAACTATTTTTTGTCAGGTCGGCAAACAATATATATTTTTTGGTGTGCTGCAGTTCACGTGTTCCATGCGATGAGAAATGTTGGAAATCGCTGACGTCTTTGGAAGTGCTCTGAAGTGTTTGATCTGTTTCAGATAAATGAGGTCATGGGAAGTGTGTGCCAGGGGGGGCCTGGGCAGGGGACACCTGGGGCGGTGCAGGGAGACGCTTTATCCCAAAGACACAGGTGGGATCCAGTAGTAAAGAACAGGCTTGCCCCAAAACGATGTGAACTGTAGGAGCCAGAGCAGACCCCGAGCCTTTAATCATCGTTAAGATGAAATAATGAGGCAGAATGTAAGGAAGGAGTCGATTCTTCCACTCTACCCAGAACCCCACCACAGCAGCCTCTCTGAGGCCAAGAACCAAAGATGGCTGAACGCAAGGCCTAGAACAAGAGGGGAGGAGAATTTCACTCCACTGGGCATTAGGTTTTTAAGAAACGCTTGGGAGCAGCGGAGCCATCACCGCCCAGGGAGACCCGGCCAAGTCGCTCTGGGTCACCCTGCTTGCCAACAATCGCTTTTCGGTCCTTTGGCGGCTGGGAGGCGAGCGTGGGTGGAACCCAGTGTGGTGAGCAGTGCTCCACAGTGGAGATCGTGAGCGGGGGTGGAAGCTACTGGCAAAAATAAGATTCAGGGCTCCCTGCTGACTTAACTCTTCCCTCCTAAATAATCACGGCAAGCTAAACACAGCCAGGACACAGACCAGCTGCTCTGCCCTGGAGGGTGGCACACAGGCTGCAAAACAGCTCCACGGACGTAAAGATAAATTCCTTGGCAGCGAGGGTTACCAAGTGCAGGATGGGGTTCCCAAGAAAGACACAGGCATCTGAGTCAGTTGTAAAACTATGGAATACACAGTCCACGGAAAGGAGAGGGTCACGTAGAAGAAGCTATTCGATATAGTTAAAGCTTCTAGCCTGAAGACGCTCTGTAACACACTCAGTGCCCTGTTACTCAGGACTTTGTGCTCTATTAAAGAATGAGTACACGGTAAATCCTGGGCAGCTCACATACTCAATGGTCAGAAATAAGCCAGCTGGTGGAATTGTTTTCTAATTAAAACAGGCCGCCTAAGAGTTAACCCATTTGAGAACACACACACACACACACACGCGCGCGCGCGCGCGCACACACACGTGTGCATACACACCCATGTGTGTGCGCAGACACACACACACACACACACGCACACACACACACGCCTTAGCAACTGCTGAAGTCAAGGAGGTGGGGCTCCAGGCCTCAGGCCACCCGGGCGGTGCTCTGAGCTGGCTGTACGCCTCGGTGCTGCACCACAGTGACAGCTAGAACCCACACTGCCACCCAGGCAGAAGGGTCACCAGAAGTGAAACGCTGCTGTCCCCAAGCCCAGGAGAAGAGCAGGTGGGACGTCACAGAGCCGGGGCGCCGACACTTACTGCTATTCGCAGGACTGACGCCTTCACGGAGGTCCATTTGTCCTGCCTTCGGTCTATGACCAGGATGAATCCGATGCCAGCATCTTGCAAGCTGAAACGAGGGGGAGAAATATCTGCAATTAACGTGTGCAGCAGGGAGACGGGCTTTTGCGTAATCTCTAAGAAAATCTAATGATAAAACGATTCCTCCTAGGATCCTTATGCCACGTCCGCGCTGCAAGGTAAAACGCGTGCCAAGTAGGCGTCTGAGCAGACTGCAGCATTTCCATGAGCCTCGTCCGGGCAATTTCCAGGACTTGCTCTTATCTAAAGATGCACCAATATTTTCTGTGTTTTATTTCCCAACCTCACAACAACCATCTCGCAAGGCAAAGATCCAGGCAGAACCCATCCTTCCTGGAGCTTATTCAGTTTTTGTTCCACAGTAAGCGCCGAGTCATTTTCTCTGCTGGGTTGACCAGCTGGCTAAATCCTCCAGGACACATTGTAAGATCCACATGTTACACGAGTCCTAGCAGCTGAGGTCCTCGTGCTCGCCCACGTTAGAGAATTGCTCTTGTTGGCTTTGCTGCAACCATGGGAGAGAAGCCCCCAGGCATCTGAAGGCTCAGGAGCATCTGGTGGAAACGGGAGAGGAGACAGGGCTCCTTGCAACAGCAACATCTGTGGCAGAGATAACACTGAGCCGCTGTGGAGTGACAGCCTCCGTCCTGACTTAGCCCAGCACAGGAGCCTGAGTCACAGCGTAGAAACCAGGAGGGCCTCCTCCGCCGGTGCAGCCCACATCCGAGCCAATTGTGCAATGCCAGCAGCTGCCACTGCCAGCCAATCCACGCGGGAGCGAGAGGAGGGCAGGCAGAGGCGCCGAGTGGAAGCACTAACTTCCAAGCCTCTGAACCGAAGGGAGCCACTTGTGGGTTGAAATGCAAGTCAGAATGACATGCAACAAATAGAAATTCTGCAGTGTGCAAAAGCCTGCTGTAAACGCCAAGGAATAAAGCCAGAGCTGTCTTATCCCAAATCCTCCCCGGCCCTCAGATGGAATGACGGCGACAGTGACACAGAATGCACACCTGGGTGGGTGGGCTGTGGATTCTGTGCTCTTATCCACACTGGAGGACGAAGGGCTCTGGGTATAGGAATCTGGGTCAACAACAGCAGAGGCCTCGGTGAGTGTGCAAGTCCTCACCCGCTTTCATTCAGAATAGCCTGTCCGCTGTTGCTATTAGAGCTCACGCGCTCGCGTGGCGAGAAGGCGGTGATTGTGTTTCACACTGTACCGGGCGCTCCACGCAGAACTCCTGAGCTGGCTCAGTTCTTACGGAAGCAAGGTTTTTGTTGTTGTTTTGTTTGTGTATCACTGAAGTCTCAGTGCCAGGAACCTAGATTCACAGTGGTCTTGCTCCCCACTGCACCCCAACAGCAAGGGCTCAACAAAGATGGCTGGCCGACTTGCCTGATTCGGGCTGGGCTGCTAAGGTAGGACGTTGAGATGGAACAGAAACCCTAGTCCTGTGCCCGGACCCTCCTTTTGTTCTTCTGGGTTGCTACTGGCCAGCCACTGAACTAAAAGCTTGTCAGGATATTCTTTCTCTAATCCTCATAACAACCCTATGAGACAGCTGAGAGAGGAGACACAGACACAGAGGGGTTAAGTTGCCCAAAATCACACAGCCAGTGAGCACAGACGGAGTGAACCCCATGGTCTGGCTGGGAGTCAGGGCTCTCAGCTGTCTGCATGCTGCCTCCTGGGCCAAGCACACTCATCCCGCCCCTCCCACCCCTGGGCTTCCCCCTAATGCCAGGCCAGGCGGGGCCTCCTCTCCAGGGGTCCCTGCACCACTCCCAGGTGTCGGGGGACATGCTGAGGGGGCCTGACCTCAGAAGCAAACAGCGAAGATGCCCACACACCAGAACCCAGCTCGGGGCCAGGAAAACTCTCTTCCGTGCCCCCTTGCATCTCGCCTCTCACCATATTTTGGGAGCAGTGACTCAGAGGTGCCTAGACTTAACAAACATAAGGCATCTTATGTAAGATGTAGACCCTCGAAGCCTCCTGTGTGCCCATATGGCCGCAGCCGCAGAGCAAGGCCGTGTGAGATGCCCACCCCCAGGAGCCG